TTTAACTTGCCTGCTACCTGAGATCCAGAGTTGTCGATTTAAATGATGTGTTGTTGACTGCAGATAATAAATAAGCACTGTGCGTGAGAACTCAGCGTCATGCTGATAGAGGAGATATACCTTTTTCTCAGAGAAGAACTGTCAGCCATCAAGGGAAATACAGCACATTACTAAAATGATGTTTGAAATTAAATGTTTTTTCCCCAGATTCTTTTCATTTCCTAAACCCACAGAGCATACACCTAACTAAATTATTCCGTCAAGCATCATTAGCTTTTGGTAACTGCGTGTGTGTGTATTTAAATGATGTATTTATATTTGGCCTCTCACTTGCATGTGTGATTCATTTAGTTTTGGCTCAGTGTGCCACCAGGACGATGACTTGTCTCCTGAAGAGCATCTGGGCAATACATTAACAACAGGAAGTTTAAAATGAACTATCAATTATATTTATCGCAGGAAGAGATGGCGGAGCAGTGCGGTGTATCGGGGAGTTTTTCACTGTATACAAACATAATGTCATGTGTCCTTGCAAAAGCTGCGTTGGTACTTTGCTTATCATGCCCTCTCAGTGTTAACACAGCACGGGCAACTTTTAAATTCTTCAGCTCAAATGTAATTAACTCAGTATCCTGGGGATTATGCAGAGTATATAAACATCAGAAGAGAGACACAGTTTTGTCTCCTTAGGTCTCTTTACATAGTTTTCACAAATTAATATTCACCATTATGTTTGGCAATAAATTAAGGACCAACCTTTTTGCAAGGTTACCCGTTTATATGATGGATGATCATTGTTAAAGCACCCACTCTAAATGATGTCAGACATTTTAATGGTAGTAATTAGTGGTTATTTGCATGATTCATATCGGTTAGAACCCTTATTAAAAGGCTGTTTTCCTCTGTTTCATGGTTGCTTGATACAAGAAAGGCACAACGGAGGGAGTCCAGTGTTGTAGTATAAAGATCTATAAGTACTAGGATGAGTGGGAGGATGGATATGTCATACGAACAGATCAAAGGTAAAGTCCCATGTGAAACAAACAGAAATGTCTCGTATGCAACTTACACAACGGAATACATATAGCATTTTTTTCTACAAACCTCTCCATGTATAGAGTACACTACATTACTGTCAGAAAACAATATACAGTATGGGGAAAATTCCAATCCAATGCACACAACTAATTTGTCATACAGACTTATAACATAATTTGATGTATGGACTCAGCTGGGCAAGAAATACAAGGGGTGTCTACAAAACAGCTTTAGATGTCAACCAGATACAAATGCAAACGGCATGTGAAGAAAACGACACACATTTCAAGAAATTGTGAGAAGAAAATCTGTGTTAGATGTGGTTATGTAAGTTTATATGCCAACAGCAAACACTACATGCTAAAATCAATTAGTTACTGTAAAATGTGTATTGAACATCTTAGACTTTTTACATTTTACTGTACTGGATCTCTATAGATTGGAACCATGTCATGCATACTCACCAAATAATAAAGACAGATTTATAGAATTAAAGTCATTCTTATCGGGGCTCTGATTTTCATCTTCCTAATGATCCTTTGCTCTATGTTGCAGGTAGAGTGAGATAAGGTAAGCCCAGGCTTTAAATCCATTCTTAGCAGCCAAGGTTCAAAATAGCAGGGAGCTAAAAGGTTAGGGGCTACTTATTAATGCATTAATTATGAACTTCCTCTCTGCCTGGAGCAGTGGACTTTGCTGGGTTATTACTGAGGGGAAATCAAGGAATAAAATGTCTATTTTAAACTAATTCAGCATGGCAATGGCAATATGCAGCTTATCAGGCGGGTAAGGTCAGGATATGGATGAAAGTAAAGTATTTGGCTTATCAGACATCTACATTGTATCATATATTTTCACTATGATCTCAGGCCAACTTCACAGCTATTTAAGCTATCCACAAGAGCCATGCGGGCTGATATATATGGCCAGTTGATACAAAACAGAGGAACATAAAACCGCTGAATAAAACGCGCGCACACAAATCCAACAACTTGGAATTAAAAAGGATTAGTGAGGGGGTGTTGCAGAGTATTTGTAGCAACAGAATGTCCTACGTATAAATAGAGAATGATATGCGTTTGTAAGGCCAGGAGTTCTCCAACACTGGCTGTGGACACTGAATATCACTTCCACACAGAGCACTACCTACCCATGATGCTTTGTTTTTTGATGATGTGACCTTTCCCTGAGGGTGAGAGCATTAAATTATGTCAACATTTATGCTGAGAAATAAAGTAAAAAGACACACTCTCTCTGTCTCTACTGTACAGCTGTATGCAACATATTTGTTTGTGCATGTGTGACCATGCTCTCATGCATAGGCAGCATTATTATACTTCTGCAGGTACTGTATTTTGTCATGTTTCTCTATCTACCCATGGGGTCTGCTTTTGGTATGTTAATGAGCCATTTCAGTGGAGGCTGTGTAATGCAGGCTGTGTAATGCAGGCTGTGTAATGCAGGCTGTGTAATGCAGGCTGTGTAATGCAGGCTGTGTAATGCGCTGAATGCAGGAATTGTATTTTGCATTTTGAGTGCACTCATGACTTCACAATATATTTGGCTAGCCGTTCTGCTTCATAGAAATTGTTTAGTTTTTTTTTTACCACGATTATAGATTCAGACAGTTTGAAAAATACGTATTGAATCTCTTTATGATTATGTAATTCTCTTTTTGACAAAGGAGAATAAGATCAGGCAAAACACTTCAATCTGACTACTTCATTCAAATGTTCTACTGTGTCATGAATATGTAGAATCAAGTCACTCTTTTTTCATGCTTGAGGAAAAAATGAAATGCTAGTCTGAATTTCAATTATTCAATATACAGACCTCATACAGTATCTTATCTATACAAAATATGATTCTACAAAAACATTATTTTCTAATTAGCATAGATGTTCCACACACCTCTCCATTGTTTCTTTCGTGTGCTCCCTTTAAGATTTTCTTCCCTTGTTTTTTTCCCACAGCCTTACATCTTCCTCTTCTCAGGAAAGACCCACCACTGAAATCCCAGAGGTATGAGCCTGAGTGTCAGCACTGTAACTGTGAGTCGTCATAATAAGTCTGCTCCTATTCTTTTCGCTGGTTGTTATTCCATCATCCTTTCTCTGTCTCTGTGTCTTTATGGCATAGACCCAAGACTTCACTTACATAGGCGATACCTCTTAAACATGTGCTTGTAATATACTTTTAAATATGCAAGTGTTATTTGCCTTATTGTTGATGTTATTTGTCATTATCATTTCGGATGAAAAGCCCACTCACCAACTATCAGATGTTTTAACTGTCTCTCAAGGTCTTCTTCAGTGAATGGAGATGGCTCAGTCGTCATCCTGTGTGGAACTTCACTCGTAGTGGCTTCCTTGGTCCGTCTCTGGCCATCCATTGACTCCTGTTCGATGGCCTTTGACCTCCTTTTGGGCAATACTGTGGCCAGTTTTGTTCAGCCCATTGGGCTTTCTGATTCTAAAGTTCAATCCATCTCTTGTACAAAGTCCCCATCATCCTCACTATAAAATAAATAAAACATACATCGAATATATATATATATATTACATTACATTTGACTTGTTAGACGCTTTTATCCAAAGCGACTTACATAGTCGTATATTCATTCCTCTCAAACACAGTTTTTATTAGTCTATATATCTGATGGGACTTTTTATAATATGACTGAACAATACCACAACCACGGGCACTTGCATTCTGATTAGACCATCAAAATCAGATGATGTGATATTGGTACAGCTTGTTCTTCTGGAATACACTTTCCTATGAACTTTCATTAAGTAGAAAGTGGTATCCATGACTCTGACGCCATAAAATAAATGAACATTCCTGGTTTGTGCCTTCTGTTTGGATTGATGATGACAGTGAACTGCTTGATGTGGCTGACCTTTTCACTCAGACACCTTGATGAATACAGTACCTCTGAAAATTATTCAGCTTTGATAGCAAAGTGCTTAAATGCTACCACTGTGACCCGATAATCCATTCATAATCAAATCATTTGGCAGACTCTGTGCATTTAGTTCATCACTCAAATACTTGGTTCTGGATTCATGTTTGCCTTGTAACATATACAGTAGGTACAACCAAAGTCATGAAGTTAAGTTTGGTTTTAACTAATTAGCAGTAAATCTTAAATATACCTACCCACACAGTAACTTCAACATGGTGGATGTTTCTGCACATTATTGTCAACATTTTTGTTATTGTTATGAAGTTGAAAGCACTTTTAAAGTCATGGTGCAATTGTGTGCTTTCTGCTGGGTCTGGCATCAAGGTGTTATAGGTCAGACAGACAGCTGATGTAAATACAAACTACGTTATCATTTCAGAAAGCCAAACCAGCAAGAAAAGACAAATATCCAAATTATTAGACTTAAAACAAATAATTATAACTTACTTAAATGTAAAAGATGTAAAAAAAAGTTTCACACCATGGCACATGAATAAACAATTTTGTCATTCGTTTGAAGTCAATATGCAGTTTTTTTACATTACAATGGATTATGCAAAATGTTTGATATTATACATGATAGCTCACATTGCCTGCCTCTCAATTACGATTCCATTTACAGTAACATTTTCACATGACAGTACTGACGGTACATTCAATGTGTTGGCATACTGTTTAAAATGAAAGCACATCATTCTTTAGGAAAAGGTAAAAAATAAAGTGTACCTGAGTTAGAGGAGTCCACATCCATTGCAGCACGCTCTCAACAAACATCAGTGAGTGCGCTTCGCGGTGTGTGCGCTTTCTTTCGTTATTTACGGTACATTTTAGACCTCTGTTATAAATGCCTGACAGTTATTAGCCCAAAGAATACCTTTAACTTGTATTATATTCCACGGATATTGAGCACAATAAATGAATGTTTTAAAAGAATACGAAGATACACCTGAAAAGTATAATTATACACAGATATTTGTCAGAAATAGAACCAGAGGGATGACGTGTATGTCTGGGTCCTTCGGACTTCCGGGTGTGTGTAAACAGATCGCAACTGGAGTCGCCTCGCCCAAAAGATGTGAGTTTATGTTTTATTTTGTGTCATTTATACCTGGATATATTTAATATGTATTAGCTAACACCCCCGTGCTTATAACTCTCTGTTTTCCTCGTTCATTAGGTCTAAAGTAACGTTTAAAATCACCCTGACGTCGGACCCCCGGCTGCCATACAAAGTGTGAGTACACTGACAGCTCAGCAGTCACAGCTTTATCGCTACATTCAACTATATTTCACCTTTTTAAACTATTTTATTATAGATTTAGTTTACCGGTACCTTAGATCCTGGTATATTATGTTGTTGTGAAAACATGTGCTGGCGTTTTTAGCTTGAGCTACAGGGCACGTTGTCAGGTAGACAACATCTGTTAGTGTAGGGCTGTGATTCACATGCAGATAATAAATAAAAACACCAGACAACAGTTCCGTTAACTTCCGTTTCGACATTTTTAATTGCATTGTGAATTCAATTGACCTGACTATATGCAATCTATCAGGGCTTCTTTTATCAGTTTAACTTTGTCACAGATATTTTTTCTCTTAGGCTACGAATTTTTTCCCCTGATGCAAGTATGACTGGACCACATTTGACTGCTGGAAGCAAAATGAGTCTTAGTTTTTACAGTCAATTCCCAGTTAACTGGAGGCTCGAGGTTTCCACATCAACTTTTGTAATCCTTCCACACTATTTGTGACATAACACTTATTGTTTATGCTTGCACGTTTGAAACTCAGATTTAGGAAAGTAAAAAAAGTAAGGTAAAACACTCCACATGACCTTTAAGAGATGATGGTAACTTATGCAGTGACTGTAAAAGAAAAATAGCACAGTTAAATGCTTGAACTCTACTCTTGCCATCCCAGATTAAGTGCATAAAATTGAGTTTTTGATTCAATACACTTTACTGCTATAGTGCAGTGTTCTGATTTTAATGTTCATATTTGTATTGTGTGCCTCTACTGTGACATGTTTACATGCTTTAATGTTCAAAAAGGTCTTTATTTTTCTCATACCGCCTGTGCTGCAGCACCTCTTTTCACCCTCTGTCTGAAACCAGAGCCTGACCCCAGTCTGCTCTGATTGGTTAGCTGGACGGCTCTGTTGCGATTGGTCAACGCTTAGAGCCCCTTACATACAATGTGTTGGAGCGCTAGCCAATAGAAGCACAACTGTTACACAGTGATGTCACTATGTTACGTAAATAAACAAATGAGTTCAATCGAGGCGTTTCAGTCAGGTGTGTGGGAGAGAAACTCCCTCTGGCTGAACCCTGGGCTTCTAGCCTTTGCAGACTATTGACATGCACAACAAAACCACACACTGTCACACACTACAGGAAAGGGAATACCTCTAAAAGCACAATACAGCCTTATTTAATGGTGTGTACAGTTCTGTCACTATTGCCACTATACTACTCTGAAGCGAAGTGAATTCTGTTTGCTCTTTTGTTCAAAAGCACCAACACTCAGTTTTTCATATCAAACAAGAAGATGCTAAATGACAGAAATTGGCTCATGTTAAAACCCTAGTAATTATGCATTCACTTTGGATTTACATATTTTGGATATATTTAATTCCAAAATCAGAGGTTTTATTGGCATTATGGCCATTTCTCATTGTATCTACTGACGTTTGATTCACAGTAATTCCAAAGCAAATTTGCATGGTGGTGGGTGTACAGTCTCACATTTATTACATTTAATATACCTCATCCAATACATATATGCCATAGGTCAAACATTTATTGACATATGAAAACAATTTCAACTGAACATAAGCCATGTTCAAATTTGGTCAAAACTCAATTTCCCTGTTTCGGATCGATAAAGGTTTATCTTATATTTAATAAATCATACAGAGCTTCGTGCTAAATTTGTACTTGAGAAAGAAGCCGCCAAACACTGAGGACATGCAGACTATTCTAGCAAGTGTTAAGCGGGACCTGATGTCTAACGCGGTCAGACAAGGACTCTATGCAGCTTTTAAAGCCTTAACATGAGTTGAGTGATGATGATAACAGTAAAGAGAGCATGGTATTAATTCTGGCAGTGACTGAACTTGAGCACACCATTACAGTTTACTTTTAATAACCCCCAGTCACATCCAAACAAGTAACCACTTAGTCTCAGTTGAAGCAGTGTTGTGGTCTTTAATGTGACAAGCTTCCACTCTCATTCATTATGATGAGGCTTTTCATAAAAGCTGCACTGCAAGATTTATTGCAGAAGCATCAGACTAAAATGATGTAGCTATTTAGAAATGTGTCTTATATCATCTGACAGTTATCATATATTCAATTTATCCCTGCTAGAAATGTTCCCTTTTGTTCTCCTCTTCTCCGTAGAAGTTAACATGAGTGGTCAGCTAAGGTGTAAATCCTTGATATCAAAAAGGAAAGCAGCCCAGGCTCTTGCCTAAACTTGAGAATTTATATCAGGTAGCAATTTCTCCTTAAAGAGTTACAAATCTGGGTTACATTTTAAAGGCTGGATTTTTATTTTCATGTATTTTTGTGTTACAGATTAAGTGTCCCTGACAGCACACCATTCACAGCAGTTTTGAAGTTTGCAGCCGAGGAGGTAAGCTTACTGTTTGAGCTTACTTTAAATATGTATTCAACAAGAGGGAGTGTATATGTTGAACTGCACAGGTTAACGTCCTGTAAATTAAGATATTTTGTGTTTTTTGTAAGTATATTTAATTAATTATTGACTATTCAATGCGGATTTACAAAAACAAGATGTTGGCATACGTTGACAACAAAACTCAACATCAAATTCAAATGAAAAGGAGAAAAAAGCAAATCAAGTGAGAAATAAAACTTTTTTTTCCTACAGCTATGCAAAGAAATCCAATTGTACCTTTTTTTAAATGATGACAAATGTTTCATTAGTCAGTGGCAATTGTACCTGTCATTAACAGGTGTGTATTTTAAGCCTTATTGTTGGTGAGTTTATAACGTGGCTGATTTCTTAGAAAGTAAGAGAGAGAGAGAAATCATAATAAAAACTATTCCTGAAAGACATTTTTTAATAATGACCCAATACGGGGTGATTCAAACACCATTTTATCAATTTGATTCGACATGAGAGATTTGTCTGCTGTCTTTGTTGTTTTTAGAATGTGTGTCAAGATGGATCTCTTGTCTTTTTATCTGCAACATAAAGCTACCTACGGGTACCAATAAATAACCTGAACCTGATGATACTAAGCTTAATAACAATGTATCCCTGATCCAACCTGTATTTCATGTGTAGTGCTTGTGCTGGCAGTAATTTGGGGAGCACTTAGCTAACCTTATCTCCACGGTGACAGACTGCTCCCTCTCTCCTTTCACTGCAAATCCCAGTAGCCCACATCCTCCTCGCTCCAACACTGAAGTAGGACACGTATTGTCAAAATGCTGAGTGATTTTCTTCCAGAACTTCAAGCGTGGCTATCTTTTCCCTCAGGCTCTCTCCTAACTGTTAGTAAGAGAGTGTGTGTGTGTGTACTTGCAGGACCAAATTTGAGCACACACACACACACACACACACGTTACTGTCAATTGCAAAAGGTAGTTGGTAGACTAAAGAAAAACAAAACACACTTCACAGCATTGTCTTTCTGCTTGTATCACCAATTCTGCTTCTGAAAACATCGTAACTACAGATCCAATTTTAAAGTTGTCACCCAACAAAGTCAGTGGATGTCAGTGTGCTGACTCAGCGGATACATTTTTTCTTTTTGATGATTTATTCACACTGTGTCTTCAGGCCAAGTGCAATTGGGTTGCAACATGTCCCTAGTTATTTAATCAAAGTATGTTACTGCTGCTTGAATTTCTTAAATGTTAAATTCTGTGAATCTCATTAATGAGGATTTTCTCTGCTTTATTTTCTTTTACAGTTCAAAGTGCCATCGGCTACCAGTGCAATCATAACAAATGGTGAGTTTCCCGGGAACGTCTTCCGACTAAAAAAGTGCAAAAGTGACATGTTTATCAGATCCACAGTTATTACGGGCTCTCTGACTTCAGAGAGTGTCATAAAAGTCATGGGTTTTTACAGAGGTGGTTGGAAACTCGGCTTAGTTTGAAAATGTCAACAACAAGCGGAGAGCATTTTAGAAAGCTCTAGCAAATAAATGTTTGCACTATAGTTTGATGCTGTTGAATGAAATTCTGTCAAATTATATAATACGTTTTTTTCTTCATGGTTGAATTCACCAATTGTCTGTGGCTTTGGATAAAACCTTCGCTCGAGGAAATGTAATGTAATAGATGCTGCAGTCAGCATGTCGTTGTGTCCCTGGGCAAGACACTTCACCCAAAGTATTGAGTATGTAAGTTGCTTTGGATAAAAGCGTCTAACAAGTAACATGTACTGTAATGTAATGTAATAGAAATGTATTATAATAATCAAGGAAAATCTCTTCTTGTTTTGTGCATGTTTTTACTGCTTTACAACTGAAGTCATTGAGCAATCTATGAACTTTCTGATCTGAACCAGCAGGGATTGAAATCAAACACAGAAACCCACAAAAACCTGTAATTCAACTTTACATTAGATACAAGTAGTCTAGCTAATTAGAGCCTACATACAGCATAATTGGTTGCTATATATGTAAGAGATTGAAATGTAAAAATCCCATCTAAAAGTGATTATTCGACTCAACTATTTCACATGCAACAAGAATTGTAGACGCTAAAATGAAGCTGCATTTAAACCGTTTGAACTCTTTGTATTATGTAACCAACAGATGCATGTCTAAATAACTTGAGCCAGTACGATGCACAGAGCGGTCATTACCACAGTTAAAGTCAAATTAAATTCAAATAACATTTCACCAATTATCAGAACACATTTCAGTTAATGGTGTTTGAGGCTGACAGAGGGAAAACTGTTTTGAGGTTCATTGTTTGCCAACAATTAAATCGTGCGACACCAAATCAAAAACTGATTTTGTTTTTTTTTACCTCTGCTAGTCATAATCCATTGAGAAAGTTTAGAAAATGTATGCCTGATGTATTATCTGATAGAATTATGACATTAAGGTCGCTGTGGGTATGCAGTAATTGGACACATGACTGTTGCCAAATAAGACTGAGAGCAGTCTTTTGGTTTAAAATGTCTGAGACATGACTGCAATGTCTAAAAGAGCTTTACTTTGATCAGTGCAGAATTAATGGCTGGCCCGTTATTATTCCAGATGGAATTGCCTTCTGCTGAGCGACACTCTCAATCAATTATTTGTTTGTTTTGCCTTGTGCAGCGTCATTATAGATAAACTAGTGATATTATAAATGCATTTTCTATGTTCATGTCATTTGCACGCCAATCTTTTTGAGTTGACATATTTCCCTCATGGTTGCCTTTCAGATGGAATAGGAATCAACCCTGCCCAGACAGCGGGTGAGTTGTTGTGTTTTTTTGGAGCCTTACATAATTGTTTTTTTACAGAAAGATGCCCCATTATGTTTTTTTGTATACCTCAGCAAAAGGCACTGTGGATTGTATAAGATGTTTTTCTTCCTTCAAATATATTAAGGTGCTTGGAAGCAACTTCTGTTTTTGAAGCCCTTCTCCACTTGTCAATGTGCTTTCATCAAAGCAGAACTGGACTAAAGTGTGTTTCATAATTCACTTTCATAACGCTGGTGGCATTGTGTTCATAGTCTAAGATTAATTTGATAAAGCCCCAGGAGGCACTACAGTATGTGGGTGGTTCCACTAAGAAGGAACATAAATGAAAAGCTTAATTTGAAAAGCTTTACTTACGGTAACGTCAAAAATCGATTTGGCATGAAGCGTTCCAGTTACTATAATCTGTTTCATTTAAATCGGGTATTGAAAAGTTAAATTACATTTGAATTAAGAGACCAATGATCATTAAGAGGGTAAATAAGATAAATATATTATTGATACAGAAGAAAAGTGCTAAAGAAAACTAACTTGATCAGCTTGGTAAGATAAAGATGATCAGGAGAATACAGTGACTCTGACAAAGGCAGTTGTTAAAAACACCTTAAGGGTTTGTCTGCTAAAGCCATGCCTGTTGCCTAGTCTCTCATCTCTTCTCTGCTCATTGAATTGCCCCCCAAAAAAGGGGGAGGAGCTTCCAGGTGTAGGATCCTGTCAAAATATTTTTGTGGAGTAATTGTCCTTAATCTAAAGGTGATGTAATAATTAACGGGTGCATCAACTTTGGACATTTCTTTCCCACACTTATACTAGTGTTAAATTAGCTCAAGTTACTAAAAGACTGAACATAAATCTCTGTATTGGTGCAGGTCTCTTGCTTGTTTGCATGGAAATGCTGTTTTTCTGATAAATGAATGCAGATGCAGCGCCTGGAGAGGCAGTATTTAATGTTAAATTAAATTAAATTAAAAATCGACTGGAGGCGAACAAGATGCACCAAACTGTTTAGTCAGAACTCCCTTGACTTTAAATTCCCACATTATTGCCAAACCCTGGTGAATCACTTTTTCTCTGTCAGCCTCCTTTGTGTTTCCCTGAGGGTCGTACTTATTGTGTAGCTGGGTAATGGATGATTGGGTTTTCCGCATAAGGTAATGCTTGGGTCTTTTCCACCTAAAATAAAAAAGACATTCACAACAGCTTTGTATCTGAGTAACATTCGTGCTGCCAAGAATAGCCTCAGTTCAGAAACCTCTGCCTTTTTTCACCCGCTGCAGCCACTCTGCCTCTTGTTCACAGGATTGAGAACACGGTTGAAATTGATCCAGATTTAATTTTACAATCCCCCTTTTTAATTCACATGTCTTTTAAAGACCAATATCAAACCTTTCCTGCGGCTTAATGGGAATGAGAGTATGTTTGATGTCAGCATGATTGCGGGTTGAATGAACAAATTATTGAATGGATTTTCTGTCTGTGCTTCCATAATTCATTATTCAAATTAAGTCGCTCGTGTGCTCGCTAAAACCTACCTGATCTTTAAATAACTGGTAACAATAAAAGGTCAAAAAGTCAAGTATACTCAAGGTTTTTCTATCCTACAGTTTAGAGATCTCTCTGGCTTTGTTTTAAACCACATTTCTGTGTTAATACCCACATGTTTGGAAAAATGTATGAACATTATTTCAACCTCATATTAATGTTTAAGCAAATCAGATAAAAGTCAAATTATTGTCAGTATTTTTCATCATTATTTTTGAACAAGTCATATTTTCTTCATGTAGAAAAGTCCATGTTTCTCTCCCAGCTTGTGATTTGACATCTTTGTTTGCAGTGTATGTGTTTTATTGACAGTAAAACCCCTTATAAAAGAGCACAGATTATAAACTGTGATCTTTATGTGGTGCTCTGTGCTGTGTTTCAGGCAACGTGTTTCTCAAACACGGCTCAGAGCTCCGCATCATTCCCAGAGACAGAGTGGGAGGACAAGGAGACTGATACAGCTTTTCCTCGTTGGGCGGCAAAATGACTCACCCGGCAGAATCATATAACACTTGAGACCCAGGAAACACCTCAGCTTGTGTCGTATTTATTTTCTGGCCCGCAACTGACAGTGACTCACATGAGAATATACAGTATACATATTTAAAGTTGATGATGACATGCACACACTTGCATGCTTCCTACTTCTTCATTCTCGACCAAGTTCATTTTCTCTGTAAGTGTTGTAGCATCAAAAGGTTAACATTGACATCAAGAGTTTCCAGAGATTCTTGGTCATTTATACACAGGCACAGCAGCTGCATCATGGGAATATTAGTGCTATGATTTGACAACTGAGTCAACATTACTAGCTTTTCTATCTTTCTAAATGACAATAAATCATCCATATGACTAACAGCAACTTACTGGCAATGTTTGCTTTTGTCTTAACCAACATGGTAATGTGGTAATATAAGAAGTGAGCCCTTTTTTTTTAAAAGAATATGTACAACTTGCTCTGAAGTACTCTTGTCGTTAGATTAGATGGCTGTTGATATGCTTGTAATTATATGTTTACTTTTTTAATGTCAGGCTGTTATCAGATAATAACTCCCTAAACACTTGATAAATAAAAATGCTACATGGATCAGAACTGAACTTGTGTAAGGGAACAGCACCTTCAATAAATGTCTTCTATTTACATTTTAGCTAATGAAAGAATATGCAATTGTTCATTTATCATGCAGTGCAGGCACATGGATCTTTGCTGCCCTCTGTCAGGTTACTTTTTAACAGCAGTTTGTGGTCACCCAAAATGTCTTGCCTCTGTCATTCAAGCCATGTATTATATCCCTAATTTGTACAATAGATATGTTAAGGTTAGACCGAGTGATATGAATTATTAAATATGCATTGCATGCTTAATTGGAAGCTGTGGAATAGGTGGTGAGGAAGCAAGGCAGGCATCCAAGAAGCCTCCATTAAAATGCAGAGGCTCGTCACAATAGCCAGGAGGTAAGGTTCATTAAACACCGGTAACATTAGTTTTCATTTGGGAAATGAATTCAGTTTTGCATTGCAGTCTTTAACCCCGCTCCTTCCTTTTGGCAGGATATTGTTGAATAGAAAATATATATCTTCAAATTAAATATTAAGGATATCAACTGACACAAATCATGACTTAGACCTGTTTGTTCTAAAATGCTTAATTTGTTCTCTGACTGGCTAAGGAATGAAAACAGTTTATCATTTCCTTTACATTTTTACAACGGGAAAACAAAACTGCACTTTGCTAAGTAAAATATGCAAGAGAAAATAATGGAGCGTTGATGCTGTAAGGAAGCACACAGTTATATCTCACCATCTATTAGGATGCAGCCTCAGTTGGGGAGGGGGAGGTGCCATCACAAATGGATTTTCTCATTTATTTTAATCAAAGTCGCTGCTGGGCACATGCACCAGGAATTTACTTCTGAAATGGGAAAAGACCACAGAGAGCCCTGAATGCAGCAGATGTTAGCTCTCACAGTGTTGCCCTGAGTAAAAGCTTAGCGGTTATGTGAAAATACTATACATTTTAAGCATTATATGTTTATACCTGCTACAGTAATGACTTGAATCTGAAACATTCATCTGTGTTTTCTTTCCAGCAAAGAAAAGAGTAAAGGATTGTTTTCAGGCCAAAGAACTGCAAATATTTGACATGTTTTACCTGTTAACTAAATACAATTGAAAAATTATAACCTGGATTCATTAAAAAGACAGCAGCTCATTTAATCACATTCACTGTTTCAGCACTCTATTAGGCATGAAATTACAGTTTCACACTTGAAATAAGGGATACTGCAATTTAATTCTTCATAAGCAATGATGTGGAAAGGTGCTTTATAATCTATTTTCAGGTTGAGCTGTCTGTCCCGAGCCGAGTTCAGGAGGAATTGAGCTGGCTCATAATGTCTCCTGGATGAAGTCCTCTTGTGCTACTAACACAAGAGGAGAATTTAATTTGATCTCCACTGCATCATTCAAGACATCAGCAAGTCCATCATAGCTTCCAGGAAACAGGTTTTTTAAGGCAGTTTCCAGACAGGAAAATGTGGACGCGGTCTATTTGTGCAGCTGTGGTACAGATCCTCCAGGCAGAAATCACATCATGGTCTGGCTGAACTGAGAACACTTAAGCTGAGATGAGGTATGCTAATGCAAAGAGAAAGTTTGGAGGCAATGGGTGTTTCGCTGTGGGTTTATTAAACATTTAGGCTGTTGGAAGGAATGAGAGTTTTAGTTGGATTGCTTATACTGCTCAGACTATCAGTAATGTCTCAAAAAAACTATTTTTTAAAACCTTAAAAATATTGCTGCAGTGCAATTTTTATTTCCTAGGCAGATACTGAGAGTTTGACACCTTGACTTCATCTTCTCCTGTGTTGCATTTCTTTGACTATCTTCTTTTTATTGTCTTGTATTGCATTGCATGTTCTGCCAGTTCAGCACTTTTGTATTTGTGTAAGGCCTCATTTTCTACTCAAAGTGCAGCAGTGTGGGAGGGAGGATCAGATCTGACCCCTGCTCCTGCCACCTGTCTGAATTCAGACGGACACACAACAAAGTAAGAACAACAGAAACAACATACTACATCTGGTAAGCATTACAACATATTATTTAAATGTATTTCCTGGTATTGCAAACAAACACTGGGCCACCTGTTGAAACACTTGCACGGTTTGTAGCTTCATTCATATTAAAAAAACGCACATTGAATAATTTGTCATGCGATCAAAGGTGGTTCATGCTCAGCTAACAATCTGAGTCAGTTGGAATTTTCCACCACGCTTTCATTATTTAACTTTGAATATAACATGCAGCAAGACAGGATGCTGACACAGAGATGAGAATAGAATCATACGTGTATTTTCTGTTTGTATGACTCTAATACTTTTTTTAACGTATTCCTGTTGTGTGCTTGCCTGCCTGCGTGGAACCGATAGAGGAATGAAGACACACTTGCTCTAAAAACGCTTTATAAATCATGTGTTGAGCGTGCTCCTTGACCTTCCATTAACTGCAGCCAATCTAAAATGAGATCTGGCCTGCCTCAACAGACGCAGAGTAGATAAAACCAGCACTTTACAGGTCAGTGAGCCATATAAGGAATTGGGTAAACAGCGAATGGAAACAGCCCCCCCCCCCCCCCCCCCCCCCTGACAGACCGTCGTGCTCATTTTCACCTCATTCTCACACTTCTGTCACTCAAACACATGCAGAACGTGTATATGCAGGTGTGTGCCATGAAAATAACGATACACTTGAACCTCAATCTCCATCTGCACACAGGTGAAATCACACCTCAGGGGAAATTGATAAATGTACAAAAGCCATGTGAGGCTTCACATCACTATTATTTAATTAGATGAATTACCTAATTCTGCCCCCTTCTGTCTTGAAATTAGTATGGCAGCTGAAGGAAAACCCCATGGAGGAGCATGTGTCTGATGCATGTTACTGTATTTCCTTCTTTGCTGAATTTGAACTAATTTATATGGGTGGACCATGTATTTTAAAAGCATCCAGGATATTTAGACATGCTGCAATTTTCTCTAATTCAACAACGAGCAGGGAACACTCCACATATCTCTGCCATGAGGAAGGATCTTCTTTATCATAGATCTGAGCCTCTGATATCCTTCAAGCTAAAGTGAGACGGATAATGTGGCTTTAAAGCGACACTTTAGAGCTTGTTTGTCAAGTATTAAAATACACCAAAACCCAGATCGTACCTTTCTATGTGGTACATATTTTTAAACGGATGCTGTCCTCTTTCCCCTTCTCCATAAATCGTTCGGATTTAAAGTCCATTTACAATCTATATTTAGATATAAATCCTAATTTTAACTTTGATATGTGGTTCTTATCTCAAATGAGAATTAGTAGGAAGCTGATGTGATTTTTAAAAGTCAACAATAATCATATATCTTGTAGAAAAAAGGCCTCCATTTAGGTTCCTTGATATTCAAAAGATGACTATTCAAATCACAGTCTGATGAGTTCATGAGAAATATCTTCTGCTCTCACTGCCTCTGTCCTTCTTACCCGTTGCTGTTTGTCTGATCAGTTTTTCAAGTCTGTAGAATTACATATGTCACCCTTTGGATATGAAATTAATAATAATGTTTGCATCTCAAACCCCTCTTTGTGCATAACTTCTTTCTGTGATTGAACTGTTCACCTTGGCCAGCATAGACTCTCTTTGGTAAGCCTGGATTCAAAAGCTCAATCCTTTTCACATTTCCGTTCACAACAGATACTGTATGTCAAACTATAGTGTGATATATGCCAATGTACAGTTTCTGTATTCAGGATTGATATGTTGTTTGACAATGTGATATTGCTGCCCAACTAGCTTTAAGTATTGGCCTATTGAATACTTAATGTTAGAGTTGGAGTCATATAATCCACTACAATATCTCAGTTTACATTTAAAAGTGCTAACTTGACCTATGACCTACTCATTTAATGGATAGGTAAACACACAGCATCTGCACTGTGTCTCAACAGCAAATGAAACTTTTAAAAAGTTACCTCCCTATACAGTTTTTCTCATTCGAGTTAAGTGGGCTCCTAAATCTGTCGAGAAGGTCCTAGAGCTAATGTTTTATAATCCCCTCGTTCTTTGTATCTCTTCTCTCTCTCTGCACCAACTGTCTGTACCAATGTGTTTAAAGGGCTTGTGGGAGTATTAATAAACCACTTGGAGAGTGTGTTCTAAGGACACAACAGCCATAGGCTGAGTTTAGCTTGTTTGTGCTACAGTATATCCATGAAGCTTGGTCAAAACAGAGAGAGCAAAGTCTCAGCCACTCTCGTCTAACAGCAGCAGCTCATGTTGTCTCAGTGACAGCATGCTGAGAGTGAGACTGGCTGAGTGCAGGGAGCTCTAAAACTCTCAACTCTGTCTTGCTTTGTTGTTTTCAGACATGCTGGCCGTGTGGCATTTTTAAGCAACATCTATCATTCTCCACTTACATCAAGACTGAAATATTTGAACAACTGTTGGATCGATTGTACATTCATGAACAATTCCTCTATTGAGGCTGACATTATTGTTTTTTATGGAAATGTGTCAACAACTTTTAAATGGCAAAGAAAACTCCTAATTAGAACACAATTAGCAATGGAATAAACTAATAACATCAGCCGGATATTTAATAAATACTACCAACAAATAATAGGAAAATATATGTAGCCTGATAATAGTTCAACACGACTTCAAAAAGTTATTCTAAGCATTCATAATGTGGCCTAGAGCCTACACATGTTTAGTCCCCCAAAAGTCAGAACATCTGATCTGACTTTAAACACTGTCTTTAAGTATTTTGGCACTATATGTCTGTGGGATATCATCAAGGGAATAAATATGTGCTCCTTTTGTTGGAGCCATGCTTTCTATCCCCAAATACTTCTAGAAATGTAACCTAGAAATGGAATGTCATGGCTTATTCTCTTTAAACATTTCTAGCATTTATAAATTAATAAAAAGGATTATGGCGCTGCATCGATTTAACACATGAAGTTCAGTTAACTCTAACATCTTATTTAGCCTCTTGAAACAGTTGTATTATGTCTTCGGTGGTTTTTGAGGCAGCTTTA